TACGGAATATTTATCACACTGTAATGATGATTTTATAACATCATAAATTTTTCATTTCACATGCTGAATACTATCATTTAGTAAAAAAAGAAAATTATTTAAAAAAAAAAAAAAGGACCGACCGAGATTCGATCCCGGGACCTCTCACATGCGAAGCGAGAGACATACCACCAGACCACGGAATCGCTTTAGATGGCGCCAAGTATATGCAGAACTAAATTCACATACATGTATATATTCATGTTCGGTATTCTCAACAATTCACAATCCATGGTGTTTGATTTATTTAGCCTACATGAAACAGTTCTAATAGATGTAATAAGAACATAAAGTCCGCCGAGAACCTGTTTTATACGTAATAACTCTCCTCATGCCCCTGTGCTAAAAATAGCGACATGTAATACTATAAATACTAATAAAACAAACGGGGCAGGGCACTTTGAGAGGGGTGAGAGAGGTCCTAGGGAGTTTTGGTATAAAATTACATTGCATAAGCTCAAAATCTTCTTGAAATATCGCCCAGAAATGATAGTGTTACACACAGAGAGAATGTACAAATTTACGACCTTGAACTTTGACCTCAAAATCAATAGGGGTCTTCATTAGGCCACAGGGAGTTGTTATGTAAAATTTCATTGCAATAGCTCAAATGGTTCTACAGATATCGTGTGGAAACGAAAGTGTTATAACAGACAGAATTTGCTTATTTATGACCTTGACCTTTGACCTTTTGACCTCAAAATCAATAGGGTTCTTCTTTAGTCCATAGGGAATTGCTATGCTAAATTTCATTGCAAAAGCTCAAAGGGTTCTCGAGATATCGTGTGGAAACGAAAGCGTTACAGACAGACAGAAAGACGGACAGACGGAATGACGGACGGACTAACCCAAATTAATATCCCCCACTTTTCAAGCGGGGGACAAAAAGGCTCATCTTATCCATTTTAAAAAAAAAAGAGAGAACTGTTTTAATTTAAGTGTATGAAATCTTTCGGAAAGCAAACTTGCGATATGTGTTGTTTCCCTAGTGAATCGGGCAAGAAAAGCTGAAACTTATGTGAAAGCATCCTGTGGTAGCGTAGATTCTAGGTTGTAGAAATCATGACTCAGGGGATAAGGCGGGACCACAATAGAAAATCCTTAAGTTTTACATTGAAATATATAGGAAAAAAGTGAAACTTAAGTTAAAGCATCCTCGGGGAGTGTAGATTCTGGTCGCTTGTTATTTTGTACATAGACGCCCATATATCACTATTTTGTTTGAAAGAATACATTTTACTTGAGCTTAACAGCCTTTTTGGCCTTCTTGTATACAAAACTAATTAATAATGACTTAACCATCATTGAAAGTTTTTCAATAATGGATGGAAACGGTTAACAGGCCGATTCGTCAGAAAGATTAGTATAATCGTAATTGGTTTGTTTGTACGTTGTTTTACGTCCCTCTCGAGTTTTTTCACCCGTATGAGGACACCACCACTTGCCGGTGGAGAGCTACAAATTTTGTCCTATACTCAGCACTGTTGGCCATTAAGCAGTGAGGGATCTTTTTCGTGCCAGCACACTGCGATACGGGACCTCGGTTTACACAGTCTCATCCGAGGGTCCAGTCTCCATGTACCACAGTGGGATTCGTACCGTGACGTAAGGATCAACTTAGCGCTCTCGATCAGACGCTCTCACCTTTGAGCAACGCGGGCGACGCCCACAACCAGTTCGTAGATTAATCTCAGTAGTTTCTCCTTTTCGAAAACGTCATTAAAAAAATCAAAACTATGTAAATGTGAAACTCCAAGGTAGCGTATTTTTTAAATGCAACACTTGACTTACTTATAAGTAGTTGGATTCTTAAAAAAAATTCTAGTCACACATAGTATAAATGTGAAGTATGAAAGCCCTAACCCTAACCGCTCAAAAGTTATGGCCATTGCTTCAAGTTTTTTTAAAAGTAGGTCAAACGTTAAGATCAAAGTTTTTGATATCCAATGAAAAATCTCACGAGGATAACATATGCGAAGTATGAAAGCCCTTACCGCTCAAAAGTTATGGCCAAAGTGTTTTCATAAGTATGGAAATCTCCAAGGTCAAGGTCAAGGTCAAAGTTGTTGGGATCCAATGAAAGGTCTTGCCATAAAGAATACATTTGTGAAATATGAAAGTCCTTGTATCTACCGTTCAAAAGTTATGGCCAAAGTAAAAGTCAAGAAATTTTGTGGTAAAGTGGGTCAAACTCCAAGGTCAAAGTCAAAACGTCAATTTTGGTGGTACCCAAAGAAAGGTCTTGTCACATGGAAAACGCATGTGAAATATGAAAGTCATAGCTCCACTTAATCAAAAGTTATGGGCAAGGTTCAAGTTTTTGCGAACAAAAAAAGAGACAGACAGATAGATAGACAGATGGACACGATAAAAACTATATATACCCCGAATCTTCGATTACAGGGGCATAAAAACTTTTGATATCAGAAAGATTCCATGCTTTTTTAAAAACAAGAGGCCCACTGAGTATTGTGCAACAACTTTCAAACAATTAAATTTGGTTCGTGTTTTAAACCAGAGGCCAAGAAATTCACAGTTCACAATTTTGAAAGAGACACCATTGCTTATCATAATTATTAACTTGGCATGCTTACTCTATTTACTTAATACCCAGAGGTAGATCAGAGTAACAAAGAGAAAATGCACTTCCACTTTATACCCAGTTGTGCACCTCACCCCAAAGGAACCACTGACCCAGGGCCACATATTTCAAAAATTTTGCAAATTTTATCATAAAATGGTTGATCAATACCAAAGAGCAGATTTCAAAGCATTAATTTATTTTCAGACTATGTACCCCCCCCCCTTCTGACCCAGGGGGCATAAAAAACCCATATTGCTAGATGCACCTTTCTTCATCATAAAAACATATACTTGGATCACTGGCAAAAACCCAGATGCACAGGAAAATATTTTCAAAGAATTAATGTATTTTTACTATATAATCAATAGAGCCCCGCCTTAACACCAGAACCCCTAACCCTGGTGCCATAAAATTCACAATTTTGGAAGAGGCACTCTTGCTCATCATAACTATGTACTTAGTTAGTTTATTTAATACCCAGAAGCAGAGAAGAAGATTTTCAAAGAAATAATGCATTTTCACTATACAATCTATATAGCCCCGCCCTAGCTAGAATCCCTGGCCCTGGGGAACTTAATACTCATTACATTCAAGCCAACAGTTTGCCTACTGGATGTCCAGGAGTAAAGAAGAAGATTTTTAAAGATTGCAATAGTTTTAGTGATTTTGGCCCCACCCCTCAGGCCCCAGGGGGACGGGGACCATGAAATTCACAATTTTTGTTTCCCTTTACCCATAGATGCTGTATACCAAATTTGGTTGAAATTGATTCAGTGGTTTCAGAGAAGAAGCTGTTCAAATGTAAACACACGACGGACGACGAACGACGACGGACGAAAACGGATAGCAATAGGTCACCTGAGTTACTCAGGTGACCTAATAAAATCTACCATCTAAGTGGCAGATTACTTCATGAGGAAACGAAATTTATGAACGTCGGTGAAAACATAATTTGACTTAAATTGTTATAAATAACAAATATATGTATATTTTTCCTGAATTATTTTTTTAATCATGCAAGGGCAAAACTCGACCTTTACCGTATATACCATGTAAAGTGAGAAATTCTCTGGAAACTAAATTCATCATCAACGCATGTCTGAACTTTGCAAATGTTTTATAGATAATTTTGTATTTTACATTGACGGAGACAGTTAGAATGAGGAAAAATAGAAGAGTCATGATGGAGCCGTTTCCATCGAGTCTGTTCAACATGAAGCGGTGTCTTACACATATTCTGATAGTTTTCCACATTGAATGCTTTTTAATACTAGGCTTCTCAAACAGGATCTTAGTAACGTGCAAAAATTGTTTTGTTATTTACTTCTGCACAATTAATCGCTTAAATTTGCATGATGAAAAAAGGAAATTAGTCCAGCGGTTGCCACACTGCGTAACAAACCAATCCATAATAACAAACATTTCCATAGCATTTACATATAATTGTCTACGAAATATAAGAAGAAAGTTATGGAACACACTTGATGTCCTAAACATATTATTTCAAAGTGAGAAAATATAATTCGCAAAGATAATTCAATAGAGCAACTTGTAATGCATCTGCTTGGCTACATTATTAGGTTTCCCACGTGGCACAATGGTAAGAATTAGTCGCGGAGTTAGGAGTCAATCTTTCGTCACAGGTTCGAATACCATAACGAGACCAGTCCTTCAGATGACACTTTAATCCAGGTTCCCTTGGTGCACAAATAATCCCTATCCTCAAATACCGCAAGTGCCGAACACGTCTAAATCTGCAGCAAGTGATGGCATCTTAATTTGTGTGAAAAAATCTCAAAGAGAAAACGAAATTAACATAAAAGGTGATTTTTAGGTTACACGTCAAAAATAATTATTGTACAATGCATCAGCATGTAATCAAATTGATCCTACCCTTTGGTTCAAGTTGAGCTCTGAATGAATGGGAAATGAATTTCACACGAACGATATATAAATATAACTGGTTTTTATAATCAAAGTTTGCATATAAAATTTCAATTATAAAATAATATTCGAAGTTTGTTTTCGATAATGACCAACTTAACACCACGATGAAGCCTTGGCCCTTAATAAAAAAAGGTCCCGAATTCAATATTGCATAATCTTGGTTTAGAAGATCATACAAGTTGACTGTCAACGAGTAAGCGAAAGATTGGCAAAATTAATGCTTTGGTCCACCTCAGTGCCACACCTCCGTTCGTGTCATGGGGCGGGATTCTGACACCATGAGAGTCATTCTGGAGTATTTCATTTGCTTTCCCTTCTTGAATTTTCTCTCGGACCGTTAAGTCTGGAATTTGATAACAATTCACATGGGAAAGGCTTGCCGTAAATTTGTAAATAATCATAATGAGACCTTTTCTTTTATTTCCGTATATATTCTGTTGATCTTTAAATTTGTAGAACACTTCGAACAGAGGTAAACTAGAGAAAAAAAAATCGGAAAATGAATTTTTCTTACATTTCAGTTTTAGTTTTCTTGGGACTTTCTGTAGGTAAGTCTTTTTTTTTTACCAAAAAAAAAAAAAAAAAAAAAAAAAAAAAAAATGTGTAAATTATTTTGTATTTAACAAATCAGTCTACAATTTTTATGGAGTGTTCCTCAATTTTGAAAATTTTTTAAATGCAAATATAGTTTGAAGATTCTTCTGAAGTAGATGTTAACCGTTTTCGAATTGTCTTTTTAATTTTTTACTTTGCACTAAAAGATTTATAAGAGGGCTACGCACGCTAACTTTTGATTCTCGCCATCATGTTGCACCCATTTAATTCAATATTAATTGCAATTTGGTTATAAAATTGTAAATCTTTCATATTGTTATAAATTCCAAATTTTTACAGTATGCCACGGAGTAACAAATCCCTGTCGCCAAAAGTTCGAAAATGGTCTGGAGAAGTGTTTTGATGAGGCTGTTGGAACACAAGTTGATGTAATTCAGACTCTTATGGGCAAAAGTCCTGGAAGCACAGATACTATTTGCAGGTAGCATTTTTTATACTGACAAGTCTTAACATGACGATATTAACCTGAACATTCAATTTATGATTTTAGATTTGTTTGTTTGATGTCCCTCTTGAAAAATTTATTTTAACTCAAATTAAGATGCAACCATTTGCCGGTGGAAGGCGTACTCTATACTTAATTGTCTTTGGGCAGTGAAGGATCTTTCTTCGACACAAGATCTCCGCCTTCCGCGGTGGGATTCCAACCCGTGACGGAAGGATCACCTCCTTTCTGCGCGAAACTACAGCAAACGCTCTAATGCAACTTCTGAGCCACCGAGGAAAACATGGACTTTTATTAAGATGCGAATAATAAAACTATAATATGGTCCAAATAATATCAGTCAGATTGTAGGCTTTTTCTTGATTGATGTTTTGTAGCGTGCATTTCCCAAATGAATCATTTAAGATGTTTAACATTTAAGATTAACCCCACCATACAAACACACACCCTCTATCAATCTAGTGTATGAATGTTTTTAAACCCTCTAGCATATTAATGGGTGTTTATATTGTTAATTACATTCAAGTCAAAAACTGCCTGTAATAATTATGGTACATGTAATTAACACACAAATGAGCTTTTTGTTTTAAATATAGTACCATTACAAGCAGCTCAAGACAGTGTATCGCATCACTAATAATAAGTACTGAATGAAAATAGTGAAGAAATGTTCAATGCACAAATTTAAGCATTTTACTTCTTACGCCATTCGGTCGAGGTGGTTAGAGCAGACACAAGGTAAGGAGTCGATCCTTGCGTCGCGAGTTACGTGGAGACCGGTCCTTCGGATGAGACCGTGTAAACGGAGGTCCTGTGTTGCAGTGCTGGCACGAAAAAGACCCCTCACTGTTCAATGGCACTTCATGGAAATTCTCAATGCATGGGGTTACAATATCTGGACTGCGACTTATAGAAAAGCCCGATTATCATTTAGTTCATAAAGGAAAAAATGAGAACAACTTACTAACAATTAGGACTGATTTAAATTTCATTGTAAAGTGGAGCCGTATTTACCTAATGTTAACTATTTTTTGTCAGCAAAAAAAGCCAGATTGTGTCGTGCGTGAAAAATGTACTCAATACTGTGACATTGAGTGCCACATGTAAAAAGGAGCTGCCAGAGATTGCCATGATTTCCACCCTTGAAGCCCGCTTACAGACATTGATTGGAGTCGTCTGCACTGAAAGTAGGTCTTATATCCATCGAGTCAATGTTTTAAATAGCCATTGGCAGTGTAAGTATTTTTCCAATGTAAGTATTTTTCCAATTGGAACATTAACGAAAAACGAACTCTTTGAACAGCAGTATCGTATGAAAACAGAAACACATTTTACCATGAAATTCTAATGAATTAAATGTTAATCACTATTTTAGCTTTAAGGATTATTAGCAATTCATTTATTTAAAATTCTCGGTTTTAATGATCGATATTTCTGAGCAGCTATTTATGTGTAATTTGCTGTCGTTTGTTCTAAACTTTTCTACATTCAAATTGCTTGCAGGCACACTTCCGCGTGTTGTTAATCATTAATCCATCCTACGCATGTAAGTAACAATATAAATTTTAAAAAAAACAGGATTTGATCGAAAGTTTATACACTGTTGTGCCTTATAAAATTAATTTAAATGCTGAATTACTTTGTAAGGAAATGTCTATATTCTTGCAGTACCACTCCAAAAAAGAAAGATCAGCAGTTGGAGACCGCAGGGAAAACATGTTAAAAGAAAATAAATGTACATAAATATATTGAGTATTCTTGTTCTTTTGTTTTAAATTACTGGGTCAACTCCAATATTAGGGTGGGTATATATACTAGAACCCCTAAACTGGGGCTATGAATTTCACAATTTTGGTAGAGGACAATCATACCAACAGTTTGACTGCTTGATGTCCAGGAGTACAGAAGATTTTTAAAGATTGCAATAATTTTAGTGGTTTTGTCCCCCCCCCCCCCCCGCGGGAGGCGGTGACCATGAAATTCGCAATTTTGTTCCCCTTTACCCATAAATGCCATATGCTAAAATTGGTTCAGTGGTTTTAGAGAAGAAGCTGAAAATGTTCAAATGTTAACGCACGACGAACGACAGACGAAAACGGATAGCAATCGGTGACCTAAAAGGATTATGAGAAGTGTCCGCTCAGATAAAATATTTTTTAAAAATGAAACAAATTTAGGAAAAGCTCTTCTAAAAATTGATTAGGGTGGTTCAGCGATCGTTTAGCAAGGTATTCCACCAGGATTTTTTGCTTATCTGTCGTTATTAATGCTATAACGATTGATCTTGCATTGTACTCAAAAGTACATTTGCCCCCATCCAACAGACGTTTCCTACCCCCAAGTTAAGTAATCGCGATATCAAGTATTCAAATAGATAAATAATATACTTCTCAAAATTGCGAGTCAGTTATTTGAAAATGGTGTTATAAGTTTATGAAAGAAAGAAATATAAATTGGCTGGCAAAAATCAAATCGGGTTTTAACTAGCTCGTACTCCCTTCAAATTAAATTGCAAGTTAAATGTTGAATATCTTTCCTTGCGCTAATACACGCCCTACTATACAAACCTTAAAAGACAGACGCACATACACGAACCTATTTCTTTATCTCTATCCAAAACAAGGTAAAACGTTTTATTTAAAAAATGGTTAAAAAAAAAAAGAATTCTTACAATCGAGTCATTTTCAATTTCCACTCCGTATATGCTGGAGCCTTGGTCCTTGATAATTTTTATGTACTTTTTCCTTTTAAATTTCAAGTAATGTTTGGCTTTGAAGGTGCTGACTGATACCATTTCTCCATCTAGAAAGGCAGGAGCAAAATACTTCAGAGTCCCCCCAGTGGATGAAAATTTGCTTGCAATACTCCTACTCTCGCCATCCTCCAAAATGTGGAGTCAAACATTCTGAATATTGATATATAATCTTGAATATATTCTTTCATTGTTATGATCTTCTCCCTTTCTCTTGGTGCCCTGGACAACTTTGCCCTCTTCAAAGTTTTTTTTTTTCTGGGAAATTTCAGTCCTCTGGTGGTTCGTCAATATGATCAGTTCCTCGTCAACCTCTGGCCACGAAATTCATTCGCTGCCTTTACAGCCATTATGTAAACGTTATACGTGCCTCCTAAAATTACGGAAGCTTGTTTTTCCTCTCTCCCTTGAGGGTCAAGAGTGCAGAACGACCCTCCATAGCAACCTGCAGTTCTTTGCGAACATTTGCACTGATGTTTCACAGCTCTCCAATTTGCAAAATATATAGCAACGTGTGAATAATAATGAATTTATGAATTTCAAAAGTGTTAGCTTTATATAAACTTTACATAATTATAACGGAATATTTCTGTTTTGCCAGTAATCAAATGATCTATTAATAATCACAAATATTAAACATGTTTGCAGTTAAATATGTTAAATATTGTCACCGGGTCTTTTGTAGGAAATAACTCCGACACTGGATTCGGCACAAGTATTTATTAGTGTGCTTATAGCAAAATAAACCTACAAAGTATAAATCAAACACACTCTCACAACACAATACACACAAGACAAATACTTTACATTAAAGAACAGACATTAACAACACATAAATTATATGATTGTTCGCTGTCGGAATTAATTAATAAAAGTAAAATATAAAATACGTTTACATAATAATTATAATAGAGGTAAACAGAAAGCTTACCAGGAATCCAGTTAATTACACTCCAAGTAATTATCCCATGACCGACAATTTTTTCTTTGATCTTCGCAAGGGTGTATTTCTCGTATCAACATAAGTGTGGTGATATAATAAATATCACATATGTGATATAAAGCTAGTGATATCCAACTGTTATACCCTGGATGTAGGAGGAGCTATGCAAATGAGACAAAAATTCGTTTCTAGATTTTAATGAACTAACAAAAACAAGAGAAAAACAAAACAAAACAGATACCACAGTTTAAATCAAAATGCACAAATCTTTACAAAAAAGACATCGACACGGTCTGGCGGAGCATAATTCTCGAAATCGGATAACTTCATCTCCCATGATAGGAATTCGCACATTCAATAATAGCATTTTCCTTCCCGGCATCCTCTGAAAAGTTCATATAATGAACACCTTGCTCTCATGTACCGTAGAATATCGGAACAGATCGGATATAAAGTCCTCGGGGGTAGGGGAATCCATATGCGCACCTGGCCTCAATTACAGTGTACAAAACGTGATATATAAAGTACGCAAGTTCTTGGTATTTACTATATTGAGTATTTCGGGAATGATTTTAAACTCACCAAGTTGCTGTTTTGCTGAGATTTCCAGTCGTTGAACACTTGAACCATGTTGACTGCCCATGAAGTGTTACGGCTCGTGGTTTAACTTTCTTGATTTTTTAAGCGCACTTATTTCAATGGCCGACACATGTTTTCCGAATCTAGTATTTTCAGTCCATTCCGTAAAATATTTTCCCGTTTCAGTTCCGGAAACTGTAAATGGAAATTCATAAAGTCCTGGCCCCATGGGTCATTTAAATCCAATTGCCCTAGTTCATACATCTGAACTGCTTGACTCGATTGAAAATTATCCTCGTCGTAGGCTTGCTGAAAAACGACTATTCTTTACGCTGGACCCCTTCCGCCATTTTCGCCAGATCATAGAACAAATGAATTGATTATCTCAAGAAATTGATCACGTGTTACAGTACTATGAAAATTACCAAATTTGTAAATCCGTTACTTGGATACCAAAAACCCCTCGGGTTAAGACTATCACGTGGTTCAGTTTCAGAGTCTTTATTAGTTGATGTAAAGAAAATACCAAATATGGGAAAAGGTCAAATGAAGGGTCATGGGATAAATCAGTTACATGATTGACAGCTCGATGATGCATACAAAATATCGTTTCGTTATTGCAAACTCGGAGGCTAACGCCTCCTCGCGTGCAATAACTCAACGATATTTTGTATGCATCATCTCGTGTCATCATGTAACTATTACATACTTTGAAGATAACTTAGAATCAATATACACAGTTTTCTACCGTAAAGGCAAAATCGTGGGGGTAAAGAATTTGGCGGGTACAGTGCTTATATACTGAGTGCAGAAGTTAAAACATGCATATTAATGAGATAAAAACGGTCAGTTATTGGTCAGCAGTGAGGTCACGTTAGGTCACCAAACCGGAAACACGTGTAAATACGAAAATAACAATGTCACATGATCTCTCAATACATTCACACCAGACACACAACACAAACAAACGCAGCGAACGTACTTAATTGGCAATGCGCGCCAATTATCAGAACAAATTAAAACATAACATCTGTGACATTAACATACTTGTTCTAAATACACAGGGCTAATAGAAAGTCTTCCATGCGGAGGCACAGAAGCGGCCTCCGACATAGACAATATTTTAGTTGACAAAACTCTTCTTTTGCAACCTCTTCCTCGTCACCCAATTTCCAGTTTTTTCCATGATCTCTTTCTCTCTCTCTCTCTATTATATATATACATGTATATATATATCACAATTTCCTGGTTGTTTCCATGATGTATATATTTATATATATTGTAACAATCTAAATTGAATCCCTTAAGATACCCCTATTGTGTGAGTGTAATGTTGGTCTTTATCTTGTGGGGAGCCACTCGATTAGCTGTTTTATCTACCTGAGAGCCCGTGTTCTGGTAGCACAGCCAAGATTTCACCTGTTGGCTTGTTTTGAATTACTGGGGCGGATGCTCAAAAATACATCGGGTATTCACGGGAATGAAAATGTAATTTGTAAAATATGTTTATATAGTTTGAATCTACACATTTGATGGTTGTTATATGATTGATTTATTGTATGTTGTATAACGTCCCTCCCGAGAATTTTTTCAGTCATGTGGAGACGCCAGAACTTGCCGGTGGAGAGCTGCAAATTGGGTTATACCCGGCACTCAGGGCCATTGAGCAGGGAGAGATCTTTTTCGTGTCAGCACCCACTCCGACACGGGACCTCGGTTTAAACGGTCTCATCCTAAGGACCTGTCTCCATGTCCCATTAAAGTGGGATTCTAACTTGCGACGTAAGGATCAGCTCCTTACTTAGCGACTCTAGAGCAGACGCTCTAACCACTGCGCCACGCGGGCGATAATGCTTGTTATAAGTTCATGAAGGAATGATATATAAATTGGCTGGCAAAAATCAAATGGAGTTTAAACTAGCTCGTACTCCCATAAATTGCAAGTTAAATGTTGAATATCTCTCCTTGAACTAAATACGCATACACACCCTAATACACTAGATCTAAAAGGCAGACAAACACTACACGAACCCTGTATCTTCATTGCTATTCAAAACAAGGAAAAACATTTTTTTTTAGAAAATGGTTTTAAAAAAGAATTCTTTCAATTGAATACTGAGTACTTATATATGCACACCATATCTGTCGGAGATTTGTGCATTTATAATCTTGATATATTTATCCTTCTTCATCTTTAAAAAGTGCTTGATAATCTTGATGTATTTATTCTTGTTCCTCTTGAAAGAGTGCTCAGCCTTGAAAGTACTAACGGTAACTACTGCTCCATCAAGGATGGCTGTGGCAACGTACTTCAAAGTCCGCCCAAAACAGGAGAACTTGAAGACAATACTCCTACTTTCCCAATATCTGAAAAAAAGATATGTATTCTATAGATGAAAATTAGTATACACTATTGATTTAATTAAAATTAATTTATTAATATTACTACATGTACGTTACCTTAATATATTAAAATTT